GTCACCTCTAAATCCACGCCGCGTGCGTGGACATGGCGTGGCATGGATTTGCATGCGCTAAGCGTGAGGGCGACGGCGCTATGAGCGGACGACGCAAATCAGGCAAGTCAATTGAACTCTTTTTTTAATTCCTTATCCTATTTGCTATTATTAGTATTGTTGTTGTTCTTGTTGTTAATTCCATGTTCTGAACTATGATTGTTGTTATTTTTACTATTGTTACTATTGAAATCCAATCATTTGAAATTGGGTTTTGTACTTTTTTGTCTCATTTATTATTATTATTGATGATGATGATGATAACATTTTTTACAACTATTATTCTGGCTGCTTTTATTATTGTTACTATTGAAATCCAGTCTGTGGGATTGCCGTTGATTTGAGAATTTGCGCTGCGTGCGAGACAGCAGAGACATTCAGTGGGAAAAACTCGTAGACGACGTCTGTGTTGCCCAATCGAATGTGGACTTGGTGTCATCTGCTACTTTTGGTTTCTGTCAAGGTTTGAGGCGGCACTCGAGGTATGGCATGGATTTGCAAGCGCTAGACGTGCGAAGAAGACGCGTAGGTGGGAGAGCTGCGTCATCTACGTGCACAAGGTGCTGCGTGAGGTGCATCCCGACACTGGCATCTTGTGGAAGGCGGCGTCGGCGGCGGCGGCGATGTCCATCATGAAGTCCTTCGTGAGCCACATTTTCGAATGGATTGCCGCCGAGTGGAGGAGCCGCTTGGCTCATTACTACTGCAACAATAAGAAGTCAACCATGACGAGCAGAGAGACCCAGACGGGTGAATTGGCGAAGCACGCGGTGTCGGCGGAGGGCACGAAGGCTGTGAACAACTTCACTGACTCCAAGTAGTAATACAACAACACTGTTTATTGTTGTGTTGGTCAAAACATGAAGCCATGCACCATCATCACAGCAGAACAGTGAACTCACACACGGTCCATTTGAAAGCCATCGAGTGAGATTGTTGCTGTTGGTGTTGGTGTTGGTGTTGCATTTATTTTCTTTCTCGAGGTCTTTGATACGTGTGTAGGTAGTAGTACTGGTGGTGGTGGGGCTAGTGGTGGTTCGTGATGTTGTTGTTGTTGTTGTAAGTGGAGTCGTAGCTGTGGCGTGTTTTGATGAGTGGAGGGTGTAGGTAGGGAGGTAGGTAGGAAGGTAGGTGTGGTGGGTGGGTGGGTGGGT